AAAAAAAGAGCAACAATTGTAATGAACGAAAAATTTCAGACTCCGGTTTCGTGATTCTTCAAGGCACAACGTATTGGACGGATTTATTCGTCAGACACTTTCTCTTCCAAGGAGAGCACACGATCGACGGCGACGACCTTCTCTTCTTCGTTAGGAAAAAACACGTGAAGACGTCGTCGCGATATCTGCCGAAGTTCGAGACCGAGGTCGATGTATTCCGCAAAGACAGCAAGAAACTGCCGATCGGCGATCCCGACATCGATTGGGAGGAAACCGTGTACCTGAACCTGGTCGTACATCAGTTCGACTACACGCTCACGTTAGCGATTTGCACAAGGACAAGTCCTAAGGAATTGCAAGTAAGTTAATTAGCCAAATTTATTAAATATAATTTCCAAATTGATACAGGAATTATTGGTATAATTGCTTTTAATACTTAGAACTATTTATTAAAAATTTAGGATGCAATAACTGTATGATTTTTCAACAATAAAACTTATAATAATCGCATTCTATTAAAATTTGAAAAATATTATAACGTAGTAAGTCTAAAACTAGTCTGTTACTCGAGGTATTTTTATAAACGTCTTTAGGTATTACGAAGGCATTCGCAAAAGGTGTACGCGAGTCCGAGTCGAAGGCGAATGGATGCGAAGGGCGATCTCGAAGAGATGACGTACCCGCACATATGTTTCATGGTGGATAACTTCGACGAAGTATTCTGTGATATTCTAGTCAGGGATGGAGAGATGGTATGCGTGGAATTGGTGGCGTCCGATAGAGAAGGCGCCATACAGGGTGTCATTTTCCTGGGTTCCATTAGATACGATGCACTGAAGAAAGTCTACGACGCGAGGGTACGTTATATCTTATTAACGAGTTTTATTAATAGGATAAATTATATTCGATTATTTCGATTTTCAGTCCAGCTTGAGCACCAAAATGGCTCAGCGCATGACCTTCGGCCTGTTCTCCGGCGCGGCCTCCCAGCGAATAGAATTCGTTCGGATGAAAGGGCCTCGTGGTAGGACTCTTTAATTTTTACTTTAGATATTCAAGGATTGGACTTTATAAAAAATAATTTCAATAAAAAATAACTGAACATTTGTTAGTATTTGTTATTATTTGGTAGTGTTTGTTAGTTGTTAGTATAGAATTATTTATGGAAATTGATTAGGAAAAGGTCACGCGGAGATGGCTGTGACGAAGCCGAAGGGTTCTGGGGCGGAGACGCCCACCTCGGAACCCGGCTACTGCGCGACGGACTCGCTGTGGGACGCTGACTGGGACGATGCCGAGGAATTGTTCATGTATCGACATCAACGAAGGCTGTCCGATCCGAGCTCCAACTTGAACAACTACGTCCGCGGCGGTTGGAGAACGAAGCCGGACACGGCTGCGACGAAGGCCAGGTCGGAGAACGAGGGTCTCGACTCGATGGCGAACGGGTTGAACGAAATCGAAGCTGGGGATGTCCGTGACGGTAACTAAACGCTAACGCTTTGTTGTATCCGATGGAAATTCGTCGGCGATCGAAAGTTGGACGAAAATCCGGGACGAAATTCGATAATTCACTCTTCACCTTCTTCCTGTTTTTTCTTCTGCCTGCGCCCTCGAGGACCAACCGTGCATGCTGTTATGACATATCTCTGTGTATTCTGCACATTTCTTTCTACTGATAGCTAGTTCAACCTTAATTAGGAATCGGCCTCCAGGTCTAATCTAATTAATTATTAATACTACTCTCCGAGATGTATTTGTTGTCTCTTTTTATATCGCGTTCGACTTTAGACGAAGTTCGATTCGGTTCAGAGACGCGAGAATTGCATGTTTCCAACGACTATTATCTTTATCTATACCAGAAATATATTCTCTGGTCACCTTTCTTAATCAGTAAGGTTTCTCTTCGTCGTGCTCTTGTATTCCTCCAGACTAGTCAGTGACCGCAAGACGCACTGTTTCAATGCGCTTGAAAGAAAGAACGTAAAATCCGTCGAGAAGGAACGGCTGTAGAGCACCACCACCAACACCACCACACGCGAATCTCGTACGAACGAGTTACAAAAAAAAAAAAACGAAACAAGGGAGATAGCAATAGAAAGAGGGAGAAAACAGAAAATTGTGTCTAATCTGTGTCACGTGCCATGCCGGCTGTTTCCTTTGTAGCCGACGAACAGGATAGCAGCTGGGGCGGCCGGGGCTCACCAGGAAATCACAGGAGTCCGAACGCCAGACGACGAAGATCCCCTCATCTATCTGGCAGGCAACATCGTCCGAAGCAAAAGCAACGAAACTCGTGGGAGCGCACCGGAATCGACAACTCGGTGAATCGAAAAGAGACCTATCACGAGACACTCGGTGAGCGTGCTCCCGCGTGTTTCACGCGACTCACCGTCTCTCCCGCCTTTGACGAGATTCAACGAAAATACAAAAACGGTGTCTGTAAAGGTAAAAGGCGAAAGAGACGAGAAAGTCGTAAAAACGCGACGCGAGACCGCTTGCATCCGTCGAATCGAATCGTGTGTCTGGTGACAGGCCTCGAGAACCACCAGCACAACCATATCGAAGTCGGTAGCGAAATACTCGTTCCGGCCGCGGCGTGCTTGACGGACGACTACGTCCGGCAGAAACTGGACGCCGGCGCGATTTTGGTACACGGGAAGGAAGAGCTACCTCTGGGATACGAGGAGCCGGACAATAGCCGCAAACGCAGGCCGTACAGCACCGGGCAGATCAATCACGAACGGATCAACAACCTGGAGAACGACGAGGACCAGCGACGTCTCAGCGACGACGAGCTGGTCAGGGTTCGTCGTACGGACGGGCGGCGGCGGCTCCGCTCGGCCGGCTCCGACCACGAGGAGTACTACACTTGCCGTAACAAGAACAAAAACGACGACCAGTTGAAAGACAAAAACGCGAACGCGCGTATCACGCGCGGGAACCTGACTACGCACAGGCAGAGTGCCACCCTGCCGCGGCGGAGGCGAAGGCGAGCATTGTCCGGAAGCTTCGCGGGCAACCCACTTCCGCCGCATCGCGTCACACCAGACGGAACAGCTATCTACTATTGGTGCGAGCTCCCGCGCCGCCCCGGCTCACAGGGTAAATTCTTCTTCCCCCCCCTGAACGACACACCTCTACACGATCCACCACATAATATAGTCGAACGATCACGAGTTTTATTTACGCGTACAGTCACCGCCTTGTGAACGATCGTTCTCCGCTGTGCGATCCCTAGATCGAATTGCAGTAAGTATGCCGACTGAAAACGTCCAAATACTATTTTTAAATCGACATTAATGATATATAATCCGATTGACTGGTTCGATATGAAACCTGAAATACACGTAGAATGACGATCGTTCATACCGCGACTGAAGTACACTAAAAAAAACAATCATGTTGTCCATTGTACTCGATCATATCCCCCGTAGAAAGGTAAACTTGTACAGCCATGCTCAGTCAGTGACTGTGTTTATGAGGATGGTGAAATGACAGTGATAACAGGGGTGCGAGACGGTGTTCCGTAGTGCTGGTGGTGGTTTCTGACAGTAATTTCCGTGAGACCAAGAAATTTAATAGCGTGCTCGGTTTCTATCGCGCGAGTTTCACCTCCGGTATAAACATAGTCATCCCTGACGAGAAACAAGCTTTCGCCAGAAACCGATAGAATTGATTTAGAAACCGATAGGTTCATAGAGCGCGATCTATTCGCGTGGCAAGAACGGCTCACCCCTTCTTTCCGCCTCGCAACGTTCTAGCAATTTTAATTGAACTTTGAAACATATGCTGTGACGATAAAAAAAGGAATTGAACGTTGTCCGCAGAAAGAAGCTAGTGCATCCTTTTTCGTGTTGTCTGTTCTGCGCACCTGTAGCTGATGTGTATCATTGTACCACCTCTACATATTTTCGTACCACGATCGACCTACTCGTCCCTCGCCATCTTCAGCCGTCCGGTCCAATTCCGAAAATCCACTTTCCCATAATCCTTCCATGAATCTTCTTGATCTCCTGATCCTACTTTGGCCGAGACACGAATCATTCCAGGATCTCAATCGTAGGTCGAGTTACCAATCGATGCTCGAAGCCATTAGCAGTAATTAAGGTATTCTCCGTGTGCCAACAGAGCTGGACGACGGTGCTTACAACCCGTTATGGACTATGCGAGGATTCACGCAGACCTTCCACTTCTGGAAGGAGACCAGACGGGCCCAATCCGTTCCTCTAAACGCATTTCTTACGTACATTACGTTACCTTGGTGGAGTATTGCCAAAGGTACATCGTTGATTCATTGAACGTCAGAGAACTATGCCAATTACTATGCAATTACGCGTGGTTTTCTTTTTACAGATATTCTTGATCACCGAGAAGGACCTATACTGACGTTCTAGCCAACGCGAGGGCATTCCATCTTTCATTTCGAACAGATCTCCATTTTGCATTTCTTTTCCCACTTTGTACACACTTGGATAGAATTGTGGCCCAACATGAGATTGAAATGTATAAATTAAGGAAATAAACGAAGTGATATTTATAATTCCCTGCGAGTCGTTTAATTGTTACCACGAGAAAAGGACATTAACGACTGAAAACAAGGAAAGGGCGAACTTTATCCCTATAATCGCAGTTCCCGTACTATTCCTACTATCATTTCAGCTAACAGTGTTTGCAAAAACGTGTAAATGGTCACCGAAGTTGGTCCACATGTGATCCCACAATACCGGATCGGCTCTCTTGTCCCAGGGAAGGTTCCCAGGTAGAATCGCTGTGGCGTTCAATTTCTGCAGCTCGGTCCTTAAACTTTCCACGATAGTCGGATACCTTGAACATAATAAATTATACTTACTTCGCACAAAATTCCTTCTATTCTTATTCTTATTATTATGATTTCACTTACTCGTGTATTAGATTATTATCCTCGCAAGGATCTCTTTGGATGTTGAATAAACAGGGCTCTATCATTGGCTTGCAGAGTGGCAAACTGCCGTTCCTTGGAGGGCATTTAATCATAGCTTCCTCTCGGAGCTGTCGAACAGTGTCCGCTGACAGAGACAGACCCACGCTAGCCACTGCTCTGGCAGCCACGCTACCAATCACCCCTCCGACATCGTAGACCCATTCTCGTCCCGACGGACCGTACCAACCATCCCATTCACCCTTATACGTTGTTCCTTCAAGGAATAAATAAATTAAATAAATTCAGTAAAAGTTTCATCATTCATACTTTTTTCTCTCGCCGTTTCATCAATCGCAAAATTTATGATTAATCGAGATTTCGCTTACCCTGGACGTACTTCCAGTCACCGATAGTTATTCCTGCGACGCCGAATTTATCGTCGATATTGTGAAGAACCGAAGTCCTGGGCGATTCCGTGTCGTCACTTAATGCGTTCCACAAATCCATACCATCGATAGACAACTTCGATGGATCTCCGCCGGCAGCCGTTATCAACGTCGGCAACCAATCAGTAATGTGAAACAGCTGTCTACTGACTCTTCCAGTTTGCAGTAACTTCGGCGACCATAGTAAACCGGCTCCTCTTACGCCACCTGATCGAAACGCATTATTTTACAATTATTTTTGATAACGAATAATGTCGTCCTTCGGTACCTTCCCAGAGAGTATTTTTCGTGCCTCTGAGAGGCCAGTTCGAGGCGGCGTTTAAATTGAAACCGGCCGGTGGCCCGCCGTTGTCCGTGGAGAACACGATTATGCTGTTCTTCAGCATGTTTTTCTTACGGAGCGCCTCGACCACTTGGCCGACCGATTCGTCCAGCTTGCTCAGCATGCCTGAAATTATGCTTCGTTCTAAGACTGAACTCCGATTAGATAATAAACTTCACGGTAATTACCAGCGAAGCGTCTACGGTTGTAATTAAAGATACTGGTGAACTTGGCCACGTCCTGATCAGGCGCCGGCAGCGGATTGTACTCGTTTCCAGAATGCACGGCCGCATGTGCCAAGTACAGGAACATCGGTCGACTGGTGTTATGACCGTCGATCAGTTTCACTGCTTCCCTCGTGAAGATATCCGTGGAATATTGGCCGTGGAGATCCCAGGCAGGGTCTAATCCTCTCCTCATGTCCAAACCCCAGTACGGCTAATTAAATTGAAACTAAATTCAATGGAAGTTTCATTCATTCTGTTCCAACTAAAGATCGACATCGAACACTTCAAAATCTTGAAAAAATTCCTCATGATAAAAAGAATTAATTAAGAGTGAATTGAATGATCGATAAGGAATGAACCTTTTTTAAATTAAAATATTCTTTGGGGTTCCATGTTAGCCGAAAATTGTATTACGCACGCTCTCCACGGCGGTGTGATCATAGTAGTCCTGGTGACCACTCCAGAACCCGGTGTGCGTTTCGAATCCCCTGTACGTGGGGGTGTACTCTTTCGTGTAGAATCCCAAATGCCATTTACCCACGATATGCGTATTATAGCCGAGCTCCTTCAGATACTCCGGCAGAAGTTTCTCATGCAGAGGCAGCCCTCGTGGCTCGGCACACTTTAAAACCTAATTCCATATAATATAGCATTAAACGTCTACCGATCTCTGACTTTTACCGATGGAACGGCAACGCTCTACCTAAGATTTCGTAACAGAAACAGATAAAGGTCACTTGCGAGTAGAAGATCAGATATACTCGAAAGAAGAAAGTTATCACATCGTAATCGCCTAATCTTATCTGATCCTTAAAAAATGATTACACCTGAATACCTTTACTTCATGAAAGATTTATTGAAAAAGTATCTCGGTTTGAGGAATTCTATCCAAACCACGATTTCTTAAGTCATCTGCAATACGCCGATCTTGAGCAACCCTTGTTCGAGCGTAACGAGTCACAACCGAATTAATCATAAGGCTGGTCGGGTCCAGGTTCAAAGAGTCGATTTATTTACCAACCGTTTGCTCGCTTAAATAGTTAATAGCAGAATCACGCACCCCGTGCTGCATTCCGGTATGAATGGGATGCTTGCCGGTCATTAGAGCGCTCCTGGACGGAGTACAGATCGGTGCGACGTAATACCGGTCCAGCATCAAACCGGAATACGCCAACGCATCGATATTCGGTGTCGGTATTTGCCCTGACCCGTGAAACCCGACGTCGTTCCATCCCTGTTTAAGAAGCCTGCTTAAACACTCGCGCTTACTTATATTTAAATATAGCGCTTCTATAGATTCTGAGAACATCTAATTTTTTATCTCACAGAGTGAAGAGTCAAAACTACTTCTTGAAAGAAGTTGAAACTTCAAAGCGTCTGTCAACAATAATTAAAAGATGGAAATTACTTACCAAGTCGTCGGCTAAGATGAATACGATGTGCGGTTGTTCCGAGCCGACCACGTGACTTATAATAATCGCTGTCACGTAGAACAAAACCGTAGCTCGGAAGCAAATCATTTTTTAAGCTACGCGGAACTCGTTTTTCGCAGAATCTAAAACTGGTTTCCTCCGGGAGTACCCGTACGATCCAGGTCTCCGGGGAATCTATTTCTACGATTTAATCAATTTTTCATGAGCAGCTTTAGAATCTCGTCAGAAATCCGACGAACGCGCAATTAGATGCCGAAGGCCCTATGCGCTGAACTGTGAATTATGATTTATTATAAAAACGCCCGAGTAGAATTATGGAAAACAAGAATTACAGCTACGATAACGAGCAGATAGCAGTTATATTTAGCGCGTGCGAATTGAAAACTGTTCGCGGTTCGCTGGGTAATCAGGCTCGAGGAAACGAACGCTCAGGCCGGCGACCGCTGCTAAACTGTCTTCAACCGCGACTTCCACGAGGTGCAGAGTGGGGCGCCTGCCTCCCACCTTGAAGAGGAACAGTTTTCTCAGCTGCCGGAATGCTTACTGATGGAAGAGAGTCTCGTGCAGCAGGTCGCTGACATCTCCAGAGTAACGAAACGTGTTTAGCAATAAATCAGTATAACAGATCTTACAGACTGAAATGATTAGTCATCGCATCGCGTGATTGTTTTATTTGTATTCCAGGGATTCCGATTAAAGACGTATTGGCTATCCAGTCAATCCCAAAAGTTTATGTACCTTAGAAAAACGCATTTCCTGTAATTAAGAATAGTGAATTTCTCTTCTAATTTCGATATTTAATGAGTCAAGTATGATTATTTGGCATTTTATTGATGTTGACAAAATCCGACCATCCCAGCGTCGAAACGGTGAACGTTTGGCAAAAAATTTCATTTTTCCTTAATTACTCCTAAACCGTTGAATCTACGAAAAAATTGCATAGGACCTTTCTTGTAGAGGACGACGAGATCTATAATTTTCATGCAAAAATTTTTCGCTAGCGTCAATAGTTAACGAGTTATTGACGAAAAACGAAAAAACAGTTTTTTGCAAATTACTCGTTAAATATTGACGCTAGCGGAAAATCTTTACATGGAAATTATAGATCTCGTCATTCTCTACAAAAAAGGTCTGATACAATTTTTCCGTATGTCCAACGGTTTGGGAATTATTAGCCAGAAACGAAAATTTGGAAGAAATTGAAGGGGTACCCCTTAGAAAAATCTCGGAAAAATCGAAAATTTTTTTTTGTTGTTTATTATTAGCAATGCTCTTCCGACGTCTGATTTCTTTTTAAAAAATGTGTTTCTGAAGTGCATAAACTTTTGGGATTCACTGTATAGCCAATACATCCTTAAAAAAGAAGCGATCGATAACCCATTTAGGTAGTTTACGTAAAAGACAATTAAAGTAACAGCAATATCGGCAAACGAAAATGGACAATGGATCCATTTAGATCGAAAAGATTACCAGAGAAACGATTACCATCATGGGTTCCATAAAAATGGCGTGGTGCTTAACGAAATGGATAGAATGTAAGGACGCACCAGTGAATTGTTTGTCGTGCGTCGTTTCGCAACAGTTTTTGAAACAAGCGAAGTCTTCATTAATCGCGCTATTGTTCGATGAAAATTATGCAAGTGTTTTTAATGAGCAACGGAGTTTTACTCTCGGCCGGCCAGAATTGAGGCTCATTACCGCCACTTGACCTACAACCGAAAGGGGCAACTGCGACGCTGTGTACGTACGCTCGCTCGCGATTATTTTGCACAAGAAATCTGCCGTTTCCTGAAAAATTATGCCCGCTTCGAGCTTCACCTTGTTATTTTCTACGCTGGTTATCAATGGAACTATTGGGAACAGGATTAGTTACGACAACCTGATCGAGGAAACGGTACTTGTGTTACTGTTTAATAAAATATATGAAATACATCAAAGGTTTTATTTAAAATAATTTTTGGATCTACAGAATGTACAGTCAAAAGTAGTCGAGATAAATAATTTTGTTCTCAGGTGAGCATCGTCCGTTCCTGCACCAAATTCGATTCGGACGACACTCTTCTCCTAGCCGGGGAATACGAAGACTTCTTCAAGCAACCATCGTTCGACGAGGTTCCGGTCGCATTGATCTCCGAATCAAAATCAGCATTGTTCGAATTGTATACGCTGAGCAAATACTCGTTCTTCGTATTCGAACAATTTACTTTCCTGCACTATCTATGGCGATTGAATCAATTCATTTTGATCGCATCCTCGCAGCCGATGCTGCGACTGCTTCTGCAAAATGTAAACGACTCCACCTGGGCCAATTCTAACGGGCTTCACGTCCTGATCGACGGCCAGACCGAGAAACGAGGTTGCGTGAACGCTTTCAGGTTTCTGTGGACCGCCTGGGAATACGACAGGATCAACACGATTTTCCCGTGCATCGATCCTGTCGAAGGACTCGTCCTCTATACTTACAATCCTTACTCGAATGCAGCGCCGGCCGGCTGGCAGGAAGCCGGCCGCTTCAAAGGCCGCGGCGGACATCCGTGGGTGCTGTTAAAGAGAAAGTATAACAACTCGGACAGGTGCGAGGATTTACTGTTCGACAGGACGAAAGACGTGAACGGATACGTGATCAGAATGAACGCGATCTCCTTTATCCCATATCTACGAATAAATCCGAGCAAAACGGGCGCGGACAAGTTTACCGGCGACAACAGCGAGATCGCGAAGATAGTCGTCGAGAGGTTGAATGCTAGTCTACAGGTGCTGGAGCACAACGGCACAATATACGATCTCGGGGGGATCGACAGCGACGGGAACGTGATGGGAATGATGGCAGAGGTGGCTACCGGCGTGGTCGACATGGGAATGAACGTGAGAAGCCTCCACGCTATGTGGAAAGTCGAGTACGTGATTACGATGATTAATATTTATTTTCCCGATACCATAATTAAACTTAAAAATGAATTTAAGAGATGACATAATTTGATATAAGTATATTAATTAATCATTTGAATTTACTTAATCTTTTGAAAGAGTAATAGAAATTAATGAACAAATTTTTCTTTATTGCAGACACACGTATCCTCACGAATTGGACGGCCTCTGTGTGATCACTCGACGAGCAGGACAGATATCAGAGCTTTACAAGATAGTTTCATTCATATCACCAGGCGCGCTCGTTGTGATTATTATTCTTATGCTGATCGCGCTCAGCGTTCTCACGTTGTACACGGGTTTCCTGTCATCGTGCATGAACATCATACGTTTAATTACCAGCGTGTCTATGATCGGCTTGCCTGTCACCAACTTCGGCAGGATACTCATCAGCAATTTGTTTTTCTTGGTCTTTATCCTGAATGCTCTATTCCAGAGCCACTGGTCTTCTCTGCTCACGATTCCGGTCTCTCTACCAAATATCAGAACGGCGGAAGATCTCAAAGTACATAATTTCCTTTTTAAATGTTAATTACGTATATGTGAAAATTAAATACATTAATTTTGTTCCATCGAACAATTCGTATGCAATATATCTCGTGTATTCAATCGATTGATAAACCAAGAACGGTTTTATTGTTCATAGAAATCGAACTGTGAGATTTACGGATCCGTGTACAACATACATGTGCTCCAGGACCCGGAATTCCGATCGCGTTTTCACGCGGAAACGTACGATGGTTGTAAGCAGAGGGTCCTGAAATCACGATACGCCGCCTGTTTGGACAACTGCATTCATTTGTACACGAGGATCCAGAACGAACCGCTGCGACGATCCGGGTGGATCCAGCAGAACGTACAGGTATACGTGACCAGGGAGAATTGGCCGCTGCTTCATCGCGCGATGGAGGTGATCCGTAAATCGGTCGAAGCTGGCCTAGTCACCATGTGGAAAAAATTGAACACTCGGTGGATGCACGCCGCGTGGCAGAGGAAAAAAATAGCCAGGGACAAGAGCTTCAGGATTCTCGAGATCCGGCACGTCTTGTTCAGCTTCTACTTGCTCGCGGTCGGACATTTCTTCGCGGCTACGGCTTTCATCGCGGAGATCATTTTCGCGAGACAACAGAGACTGGGACATCGTGCGACACGGCAAAGATGACTTATAATATTGTTGTACGCTTTGTCACATTTCAAGAGATAAGATAAATACATGATTTGTACTCGACAATCCTACCTTTCAATTGGTCATTGAGAAACAAATTCATTTCTTTGTCATTGCACTCGTCGTAGATTGGGTTAATGGACAATTGACGAGACGAGACGATGGCTAGATAAATAGGTACGTGCACGTGTACTTGCAGCACGAAGAAGCAACGAACGAGAAGTCAGGATCGCTGCTCGGGTGTTATAAAAATAAATCTTAATTGGTCAATATTTTATTTATTCCTTCACTTTATTTTAAACAATTTGTTCATTCAAAGGATCTCGTAAAATCCCCGTAAAATGAANACTTTTCGGTAGACCTAATAATAATAATAATAATAAAATTAATAATAATGATAATAAGAAGATAATGATAATGATGGTGATGGTGATAATAATTAATAATAATAATCAATAATAATCAATAATAATAATAATCAGATTAATTATAATGCAAGCCTAAGGCGCAAAACAAACAAAACATAGAGTATACGACATAGTGAAACCGCCTTCCTCTTTTTAGCCGGCGGTTATTTACCTATCATTTTTATGTACGCAATTTACAAACCGTTTATCAGCTGCGCGTGATTAAATCTCGCCCCGTCTTCCTTTCGCTCCATCTCATCGTCCCTCTTTCTCGCCCTTTCACGCACGCCACCCCCTCCAATCGTGTTCTGTTTTGTCCTCAAATATTCTTCGCCTCGTTTTATACACTTATCGTGGGTCATGTAATTTACTTTATTCTCGGGTTTAGCAAAACGATCTCACTCTCTCCAGCTTTCACAATCCGCTTAAGCTGTGATTACTATAAAATAGATAAAAAAGCCCTGCTCGCAAAATATCTTGCAAATATATAGATATATGTATATATTGTCACGGTCTTTCTTTCTTTTTTTTCTTTCTCTCTTTCATTTTCCTGTGTTCTCGCTGTCTCTCGCGTCCCGTTTCTCCTTCCGCACTTGGTATCTCAGCCCCCGGTCCTACACCCTCTCGCACCGACGCTGTTCGTTTCATGCGATTCGACATTTCAAATTTTCCCGTGTCTCATCTTTCTTTGGAATCTGCCTTCCATTTGTTAATGAAAAAACTACGTAAAAGAGAAAATTCTTGTCGGAAAAGACAATCGCGTAATCGTGCCGTCGCGTTGCCATCCACAGACAGTGTCAGAATGGAGTAAAACTTTTTAACACGTTCTTGTTAATCAATTTATATAGGGACTGAAATATCCGCGTTTCGTTCTTCACGCGTCTAATCGTATTGTTCGTAAACGAGGGTGTCGGAACCGAGTTGAAAGCTAGTCTCTCTTTCTCTCTTTCCGCGTGTAACACGAAACCCGCGCCAATAAATACAATAATTAATTAAAATAAATAGAAAGCAACATAAGTAAGTAATTATCTTTCGTTTAAGCGAGTTTGGTCTCTCCTTGGTGCGGTTACCATTCTATTTATCTCTCTTTATTGCTTCGTCCTCCACATTTTCGTGTTTGTCCCCTTCTTCCATCCACGCAAAATACACAGGCACGCGCGCACAGGCATACACGCATTCGTTTCCGTATATACAGGCTCTCGTCTCGTTCTGCTCTTTCCTTTCATTCATTTAATTCCCTTTCGATCCTGCGAATCCATCCTCGATCACTCGTTTCGTTCCCCATCTGTCTGGCCGTCTCTTTCGACACCTAAGACAGACCCAGAAACATTTTGCTCGAAAATAATTGTCAAACAATTATTATCACTGAGCGCGTTTTCGTGAAATTACAAAATCGCGTCGAAGACATTGTCGTTTGATTTGAATTTTGTGTGGATGCGAAACAAATCATTTTTGGTACGATTCCCGTGATGTACAAATAAAATGTTTCCAGATCTATACCAAGCACGAGATGCTCTCTCTCTGCTCCTGCGTTTCTGTTTGTCGGGCGGGGTCGATCGACGGGTCGGTCTCGACCAACCTCGTCGGGGACTCTTCACGAGTGAAGGGTAGATTCTACTTGGTGAACGAGATTCGACTAGAATCAGCTAGAGAGTCGTTCGAGATAGTAGAAAGAATCACTGAAAAAGCTACCCTTCGAATCGTGAGCAGAGTCCGCTCCCGGCGTCGATCGAGCCGCGCCGGTCTACGTACGTAACTAATTTTAATTAAAATTGCTTGTGCATTGCTCGTTGCTACTTAGTTAATGTACGGCTGCTCGAGAGTACGAACTCCCCTGCCCTCTTCTGTTTTGGTATTCAACGTACAAATATAGGAATAGTGGTCGAGCTCCGAGACTCAAACGCGAAGCTGAACGTTCTGATTTGTCTCTTTAGCCTTATCTGCGTGAACGAAGGCAATTGTTCTCGATAGGACTGCGGATCGAGAAGTGTCTGGAGAGCCGAAGAGTTCTTCACGGAGTCGGAGCAACGCGTTCTTCCGGATTGGCATTAGATACTACACGCGATACGACCGTATACGAGAGTATAGTAAAATAATGATCGCATAATACTATTTTAATATAATAATATAATTATGATTGCATATTTCTATGTTTAAATATAATATGCTGCAAGTGAGAGGTGTATGCACGTGTTCCTGGTGTGTGTATGTGTGTGTGTGTCTGTATTTTCCACGTCTGTACGTGGCAATATAAATATATTACAATTCACGGCGTAGCGGGAAAAGAAGACAAAAATTAAAACAGTTAATTAAACTGAATTCTTCGGGATTATAATGTATCATACATATATATAGATTATGTATACATATATACGCTCGACATGTCTTCATCCGAATCTTGGAAACTGTTTGCTGCTGCTGCTGCTGCTGCTTCTGCTGTACATAATGTACAATTTATCGTTGCGACGTGCGTTATTATTAAATCCGTCTCTATTCCAACTTTTCCCATCGTCCTTCCAGTCTCTCCGTCCCTTTCGTACTCACGCATTCGCACACTCGTCTCGTCTGTCAACCCTCATTCATTCCTATAAATACCTCGAAAAATAATAACGATCGTAGTACCAATAAATCAATAATAATATAATATAATATAATATAATAATATAATAATAATAATAATAATAATAATAATAATAATAATAAATGTCTAAATAGTAATGACAATATATAATCATTTGTCATATGTATATTAGTGACGACAAACATTTTCTTTAAAACGTGGCAAACGACTCACGCGCGACCTGGTGTAAATTGATCGTTGTCGATCGCTATAAAAAAAAGAAATGTATAGTAAAAAGGAGAAAAAAAGCAAAACTAGAGAAGGGAAGGAAAAGAAAACGACAAAGCACAAAATTAAAATGTTTTATCGTTGCGGTTATCAGAACGGCAGCACCATTCGCTCGTTTGTCTCTTCGCGGGTCGATAGGAACGTAAAAACTTGCTCGAAACGAATTTCCCTCCTTTGCGAGGACCGCTGATAATGTTTATCGTTTACAGAATAAAAAAAAGAAATATTCTAATCATAAAATAACAAGAAGCGAGGAGAAAAGATCACAAAGAATATATCTATGATAAGAAAAATTAAAGACAGAATCGTGAGCTAACTATTGATGCCCATCGACGAACGTCGTACACGCAGAGAACACCATTCTTGCATTCAATTAAGAATTATTTCTCGATAAAAGTGCAGACACGTTCGATTTCATTGCAACAGCCAAATTGCACGAGTCGTTATGTTTTACGTCTGATACAAACTCATGAACGTGTTTTTAGAAAAACAGTATATACGAGAAATGTTTCTAAATAGATCGGGCCTTTTAAAATTAATTAATGTATCTATGTATAACTTGTTGAAATTATTACTTAACTTTCATGTATTATCGTACAATTTAAAAATAATTGGAAATTATTATTGGAAATAATTCATCAATTGAATGAATTCTAACTTTGTATCAGACGTAATCGGCCTCACTGTACATTACTCATGTTCCCGGGACTGACGAAATTCAGGAGGGCCTGATATACGTATCCGCTATAAATATGAGTCTCGAAAATATCAAAACTTCTCTTTTCTTTTTTTTTAATAGACTTCTCTTTTTTTAGTCTCTTTTATCCTTTAGTGCGTGTGCAGGCGCGCACACGAGGTATAAAATTGTATCCCGTGAACCATTGGACCTCGCTTAGTAATTCTATATGACCCTTCCTGAATCTCGTCAACCGCGCGTGCCCGATGTCTGTGTTGTAGATCTTTCAACGTGTTTCTTTCTCTTTTATTATTCTTGCGTTCTCTCTCGTTTTCACTTCGCTTTTGGCTGATTTATCTTGGAGAAAAGCATTAGCAACGAAGAAAATCGCGAGCCGCATTGAACGTATACGATGAATTAATAAATTGGTCCAACTTTCCTCTGCATTTCTTGGTACCGTTAATTTTAATTCTAACGAAAAGACTCCAGACGTTTCAGAATTTAATTCAATTCAATTTCGATATGTTTGACTACTTGTGTAGAAATATGGTCGCTACGATCGTGGTCCTACGAATGATCCATTCGTTTTGGATTGCCCGCGAGTCAGTGAACGCATTGCTAACACTTTTCTGTATTCATATGTCCATCTCGTTACAATCGAATACCAAATCGAATTTGCCGTTTTATCGAGAAAGACAAAATCACGTTCCTTTCGATTTGTTTAATTCACTTTTCTTAACAATCAGGCCTCGTATACTGTAAATGTAAGCCAATCTTTCCTAAACTGTGAAAATAGAGAAGAATCGCTTAAAAATGCGCGCTCATTCTGCGACACAACAGTTTCTCTCTTCATTCTGTCGGCGACGGATCGAGCGAAAACTAAAGGAAGCATAACGAGTGAAACATCGTAACGGAAAGAGATAAACCCGATTTGAAAGAGGCACGAATGAAGGGCGATTGAAACGATATGAAAAGAGAAATGATAAGAACCGAATTTGTTTTCTTATAAAAAAACAATGAAAATCTGGACTGTCTCTCGGAAAGAACCATTCGGGACAAATTCGGCGGACATATATAATATCTTGTGTACGTGTATTTTAATAATTTTTTTCTTCTTTCTCTATACCAGAAATTTCTTGATTCTCGATAAGATTTGTGGTAGCAAAAATTGGGGCGGGCCGGCCTGTCGCGTCGATTTGAAACGGTCGACAGGTCGCCCTCAAGGCGGCGGCACTCGCAAATACCTATTTACAAAAATATACAGATGAGCAACTTACTTTTATCCGTTACGCTTGACTTTTTATGTATTTTTTTTTCTTCGCTTTTTTTTATTACTCATTTTCTTCTTGAGTTTCGTCTAACGAGAGACACGCGTCACATGATTTATTATTTTATTCGTCTGGTGTCTGACCTCGCCTTCTTTCTTTCTTTCCATTTTTTGTATTATTCTTTCATCCTTTAATAAATCGCACTATTTATAATGGTGTATGCACTATGTATAATTATCTGAATATTCCTTTTTTATTTATTTACTTCTCATCACTAGAACCTCTACGTTATTCCCCGTTTAATTCTAAGTAATGTAAATAATATGTATTGGTTGTTTCGTTTTTTTCTGTTACCGTTTTATATTTTCCGTTTTTCCTTGTTGCGTATTAATTATCTAATCTAATGTTACTTTTCTTTCTTTACTCGTTTGTAACCTATCTACAAAAAAGAGTCGTGTCCTCCGTTCACGGACGTCAGACAATTGTATTACAATAATAGTAGCGTTGCATCGGTTCTCGATCAACCATTGATCTTGTTGCTCGCGGTGCATCTCCACCTTAGAGAAATGCATCATCACACTAAAATTTCTCGCCCGTCTCAATTTTGCAAAAATTCCCACATTTTATACTTATTTCGTCACCTAAAAACACCCTCGCGAATCACGCGACCGCCTTAACTTTTATCATCTTTTTCTGCTAACAACGAAACGCCAGCACGCGTGACGCATTGATTCTCTTTGTCTCATTAAATATACTCATATTTATATATTTATAATTATTTATATATATATTTATATAGGTAATAAACTATATGCATATATATGTATATCCTTGTGTATTCATCGCACTCGAATCGCCGAAACGAAACTTATGCTTCTTCAGGTAACGTCGGCTGCGGCGCACCGTAAAGCAAGAACACACGGGCGCTTCTTGTGGCACTTCTTATTCCTTCTTCGTCGCTTTCCTCTCCCCTTTCTTCGATTTACCGTCTTCGTTCAAATATACAAAATTCCGATTGCTCCGAAAAAATAGGGACAAAGCATTCTTCCCTCGATTCTTTATTCTATCAACCTCTATTCCCGCCTTCGTTTCAGTCCCCCTCGATTTCGTTCTTCGGAACTCTTTTTGCTTTGCATTCGATTCTCGTTTGCAAAATAAGTAACGCAGGAAGTCCTCTTTGCACACCGATCATCTCCCTCTTCCTCTAGCTGTCCCCGCCTCTTGAGAGGAGTATCTCTGAATTGACTATTTGAAATTGGTGCTAGGAGTTTTTTATTTTTTTTTTTTATTATTTTTTTTTAAATGCACGGATTTCCGTGAAGAACCTCTGAACGGAGAAACGTTGTCAGAACTTCCCTAACGATCGTTCTCGATCATCTTTCCAGTTGCTTTTACTCCCCCAGACTATCGTCTCGATTCGTGCACCCCTCCGGAGCATTCGCTGATTATGCACTCGACTTCTCTCCTCGTTCAACGCATTTTTCATCACATCATGTTGTAGTTACCATACGATTGCTGATCGCACGTTCTCCGAATGAAAATGGAAACAACGATCGTCCTCGATCGTTCGCGTTTATGTGTACATCGTTGGATACGTGGCCATATTTTGCGGGAGAGAAGTAATGTAGTTAGGGGTGGGCGGTCTGGGGCTGTGCCACTGTGGTCAGAGATCTCGAAGCTTCTTTATACCGGCCTGAACATAGCGCACCAGATCACGCAAAGAGCTTTTCAACGTGAGGGGTCCCAGTTTCTCGTCCAGCTCAATGAAAAAATCTACAAAGAAGAGAACAACGTTCTGTTGAATCAAGCGTACATAAAGCGTAATTCGAATGTTGTTTACTTACTAACTTCGCCGACTAAATATATTAAACGCTTAGTAATGAAATGTGGAACACTCACCTCTATGCTTATCCGTCACCAGTGCGTTCGCCTGCTCCCACAGATCGTGACAACTCAGTAGCAAGCTGAACTGATAATTTTGCTTGGCCATGGCGTTGTGAACGCCGAGAGGTACGCTGATGTATTGCGCCGGTTGCGGTTGACCCGAGGCAGCGCCACGATTCGCTAGCTCACCGCTGCTATATCCCGAACTCTGGCTGCCCACGGAACCCACGGAACCGGCTGGTGAGGGCGTCGGTGACAAGGAAGGCGTACCTTGTCCTTCTGGCTGCACCGTTGTTGCCTGAGCAGGCTGATGCCACAACGAAAACTAATAATTAATTCAAGGTAATTTTATTAAGACGTAAAGATCGTCGGTCATATCCGAGAATACTCACCTTTTGATAATACTCCGTAAGGATTTTTTGGTTCTCTTTGACCTCGTGTTTGCGCATCTTAAACAGCTTCAAGTATATGAGAGACTGGCAAAAGAGACTGAAACAGACGCGAAGCACAACATTTTTTTAGCTGGTTGCGCGATGGCAGGAAGTTGGAAAGTGCTCGAAGCGCGGCACTCACCTAAGAATGGCCAGCTTGTTATGTATACTGCTCTCGGGCGAATTGTTCTGCTGACTCTTGAATTTCGAGGAGATGTATCTAAGGCAGGGGTAAAATCGGAGATCAGTTTAATTAGGAAGCGCTCACTCCTCGCGGTTCTCAGCTAATTAGTGATGTACTCACTTTATGAGGCTAAGAGTATCCTTGTACATGGTGAACGACGCCCTCTCCGTAACAGGGTCCGACTCCATGGCGTTGCCAGTAAGCAAGAAACACAGAACGGCTTCTAGGTAGAGCATACCCTGCGCCGTCAACTCGCACTCCTTGTCGGCGCTGTGCTTCAGCCGTTTCGCTTCCGTCAGGTACTGATTCTGGTCCCTAAACGCAAACATGGAATGTAACTATGAGTCAAGGTATCTATCCGGAAACGATGGAAGCTGGCGGAAATTGACTCACAACCTATCCTGTTCCTCCAACACTTCATTCTGAGGATTGAAGTAGGAATAATAGACACGCTGTGGCGGGGGTGGTGGCGGCAACAAACTAGTATCCGGCTTTTCTTCCCGCTCGTGGTTAGTCGGTTGTATATCTATCTGCTGCACGCAAAAGATATCCTCCAGTTTAACAAAACTGTAATCTGACCGATAAGATCTATCAGGCCGTTTCCGTACCTGACTGGAAGATGGCCTGGACGTGACAGTTTCGACGTTAACGTGTTTTCTCTTTCTCTTCTTCCGCTCTCTGTGCTCACTCGACCCCTTCGCTTTCGTCTCCAGGGAATACAAAGTACTCAAACTGGACACAGAACCACAACTTGGATTACGTTTCCTCTTGGGCGCGTTACCCACGCCACTAGCACCACCACTACCACCTCCACTAGCACCTCCGACAACGATATTACTTTTCGCGTCCGATATAGGCTCGCACTTGATCACAGAGCGACTCTTGAGGTCACTGTCGCCGGGTAACGTGTCACCGTGAATTCTCGCGTCCGAATTCAACTGTTGGGGCGGCGGTGTATCCACAATTTCGCCTTCCTCAGGCGTGGGCGGCCGAGGGGGTTGAGCCGAGAGGATTGAGGCCTGTCTCGACAACGGCCTCGTGTCCGGTAGCTCCGTACGCTGCCTTAACTCCTGTCCTCTCGATAGCTGCGCTACATGCTGTATTCTGTTCAAGTCGATCTTGCACATCAGAGACAGCACGCCGTTGACATAAGTTTGCTGCGGCAGAGACTGGATCAGGTTAGACGCTTGCGACAAAGGTCTCTTGTAAGGACTCTCCCCGCCGGTAGGGGTATTGGCCGAGGTCGTGTACTCTTCCACGTAGATGCCGCACTTTCCACCGCCTTTGCCCCCTTTCCCACCCTTCCCGCCACCCTTTCCGCCGCCCATCGAAGACGAGAACACCTTCCGAAGGGTATCGCTCTTCTTCTTGTCCTGCACGTTACCCACGTCCTCCTCCTGCAACTTCGAACCTGGACTGTTGTCACTATCCGAGTTCTCCGGTGAAGTGGTTCGGGCCGGAGGCGCCCTCGGTCTTGGAGGTACCCTGTTTGCATAAAAAGCAATTCTAGTGGACATTTTTATAATTTTTAGATACACGTGAAAACTCACCTGGCGATCTTCCTCACAGACATTTCAGACTCGCTATCAGAATCAGACCCACCAGTGACATTGGTAACTCGCGTGCTCGATCTTCTCGGCTTCGCTTTCGCAGGACTCTTCTTTTTCTCCTGTTTCTTTGGCGAATCCGCCAATTTGCTCCTTTTGAGAGGCATTCTTCTCCAGCGAGCCGTATCGTCCTCAGAGGCGCTGTTATTCTTTCTATTTGGAGGACTCTCGTCCTCGCTCGAGGACCCGCTTAATCTGGACCTCGTCTTCTCATTTATAGCTGATGGTATCATCGCAGGTCGATCGCTGTCCGAGTCGCTGGAATCACCCTGGGACCGGTCGTCACTACCATCGTCGCTAGTCGTGATCGTCGGCTTCGAAAGCGGCAGCTTCTTCTTCATGGGACTTCCCACTCTTGTTCTGCTGCGCGGTTTACCGTTCTTCAAGTTTTCATCCGTCGTCCGATGACTACCCTTCGGACTCTTTGTGGACTTTCTGGGTCGCCCGACTTTTTTTTTACCATCCATGACCTTTGGTTTTTCCGGCTGAACACGAGTTCCCTCCGTAGTTTGCTTTTTGTCATTGTCTGACGGACGGTCGCTGTCGCTGTCTAGTACCCCGATTATGGTCGCGTTACGAGTTCTCTTCAGGGCCTCATCTAGCTGCCAATCGTGCGCTGCCTTGTCCCTGTGCGTTCTCGCGTCGGTTGTCGTTGCCGGCGAACCAACTCGCTTGTTGCAATCCTACAATACAATTAAAAAGTCCCCCGTTTTCATTCAAACTGTCTGAACGTAAGCGGAGGGAGCTATGTTAGTATGACTTAGGAAGCGGGTCAGAGTGTTAACAAGTCGCTCGAAGTCCAGAACCGGACTCTCACGCGGAAAACTTCGATGAAGTACTGCGAAGTCCAGCGCAGTAGCTTAAACTTCCCGGAGTCGATCGTGCTTCCTCCGAAAGAATCTGCAGTGCTCGCGATCGGTTTACAAATACGATTTAACTGTTAGCCACTAAACATCACCAATATTAAGTACCTCTCTTACGCTATGAACAATTCAGAAACTAACGAAAAATCGATTAATCCCCCCTATTGTCCAAGTTAATTCTGCGTCGATATGTAGCGATTGATACGATCGATCAACCGTCTCGTGTACATAGTACTCATTCAATTAGAAGAACATTTATCTTTTTCTTTAGAACGGATAACGTATTTGATGGGGCACGTGATGAACTTATTAAATAGTATCTAAATAATAACTTCAGGCGTAAGCGATCAATTACCATACCTACTTCTAAGTAAAAGATCATTGTGAATATAATTGTTTTACAAATCACGCTGGACAGCAAAGGGTTAAATCCAAAGCAAAGGTCAAAGAACTGGCGCAGTAAAAAAATGACACTAACACCTACCTGCGTTTGTTTATTCTCCGCGTTCGGTTCTCCGTGTGGTATAGTCGTTCCCTTGTTGATGAACGAACTCAGATTCCACCTCGGTTTCGATTCCTCTATAGCGGGCGGCGGTTCCTCGATAAGATTCTCTTTCTTTGGTGACATCGAGGGCGGAGTCGAAGGTCCTTTAGCCGGTTGCGTGCCCGTTTCATCCTCGGAGTCGTCGCTACTGTCCGTGCACGAGTCAGAACCGGAATCGGAACCGGAATCGGAACCGGAATCGGAACTTTGGGGTGCCTGCTCAAGAGGGCTAGGCGGCCTTTGGTTCATCGTCGAACTTGGGGAGCCTTTGGATGGCAACGGACTCACTGGCGGTGGTGACAACACCTGTTCCGACTTTATTTGCTTCGGCGGAGACGGCGGTCTCTGGGGTGGCGTTGGCCTGGCCGGGCTGAGGGGCCGCGTGGGCGACAGTGGGCCCACCGGCGACAGACCCATCGGCGACATAGGTGCCAGCGGCGGCGGAGCTGGCGTCATCGCTGGTATCAACGGTGTCGACAGACTGCAGAAAACAAAACGGGACTTCATGTTTTATGGTTCAACCTAATACAACTTTGCACTTGTGACAAAAACGAAAGGCTGTGCGAGATTCGATGAGTTAAGTATTGAATTGTATAGATGTTGACAGCAAATTGACTCTTTGGAAGTATGGAGAGGACATGATAGGTACGTACGTAGGAAGTTATAAAATACATCAGCAATTAATTATGAACAGCGGTCAATGCATTAATTTTGAAACAGCGATAATCAAATTATATGACAGAGCGTATCGACAAATAGATACTTACTCGAGCGTGAGATCGGGACTTCTGTTTCCCCTCGCCGTTCGCGATGATGTTTCCTGTGAAAGAGAAGAGCACCGATTACCAATTAATTTTATACGATGCGGCGATCATTAACTCTTCCTTCAGTTCGTCATAAACGAGAACTTGATTCGATAATTAAACCACGATATAAATTTAAATATCGGATTGAGCAAAATTACCTTGGTCGTTTCATCCTCACTGTCCTCGGATAAACTCAGGTCTCGCTCTAACTCTCTGAAACAGAAAGAAAGGAAAAGTCACACAAAATTCGCAATGCTACTTCCTCTAAAGGATATTTTTAAAAATAGAAGGCCACTGAGTAGCACTCGTTGAACGCGAAGGTGGATGCAAATATGTACGAGTGAAACGGGAGGGGGGGGTGGGGCGTGAAAGAAAAGAATAGAGCCAGTCGGTACTCTCGAAAGCGCACTCGATTAGAATCAACAAGGAGAAGAACGCGCGTGCCGAAGCCGGGGGCCGCGCCGTGGTTCGCGAAAGAGAGCAATCTGTAGAACACGAAGCGAGGGAGGAGGCAACCTAGGAAACAATCGTTCATTGATCTCTGAAACTGCTGTTTCACGCAAACCCGTCCCCCCCCCCCCACTCCTGTTCTTTGTCACTGCGTCGCATCGACGTGTTTCTCGCCTTGCCCGATCGCACTTTCACTTTCGACTTCCTCCAACCTCCGATCGAAACCGCGCTTAATTACTGTCAGCTGCGATTCTTAACAGCGGGTCCTCTTTTACGATGTCGTGACCTACGACAGGACTTCATTTATAATTTATAGGATCGTAAATTAAGAGCTGTTGAACGGAACGATTTGCTTCATTGATATTTACAGGCGCGTGCTGACAATAGGCATTCAAGGAAACGTCTATATCGTATATAATAATATACGCGTGGTACGGCCGTATGAATTTGTCCCTCGAATCGGTAAACGAGGCAATTGTGCATTGTCTCGAAGCATCATAACGCGGGTGCACGAGGAAGGAAAAGAGAAATAAAGAGAAGAGTCCTTTCACCCCCGATCGAGGAGAGACGCGAAGATGCCACTCTAGGAACGGGCGAAGTGCGGCACGACCAGTGGGGGAATGTAAAGCAACGAGGAGTAGCTGTGGGGAGACGTGACGAGGAAACGGAGAGGGACAGGAGAGAGGAGGGAAAGGGACGATACAGAAGATGAAGAGGAAAAGGTAAAAACGCGAAGCACCGAACGCGAACGTGCGGAAGGGTCATCGACCCTAAACACACGCTGTCCTGCGTCCTCGTCGATGTTCGTAGACATGGCCGACTGGCCTAAGGTTGGCTCATAGTCGTTTTCTCTTTGCCGCCGCGGCTTTCTCCTCGATTTCATACACCGCCCGTTCGGAAACTCTTCCTCCGATCGATAAAGCTGACCGAATATCAAGCCGTCGTATTGATTCACTGAGCGAGGACAGTGCCGCGAGTTTTTAATTGACTTTGAAACTGCGTTTTGCAAGCGGACCGGGGTAACAGAAACAGGGAAAAACTGACGAAATCATCCGGCGGGCTGGAGCGCGAGAGCGGCGTCCGCTGAAATAGGCAATGACTCGCGCAGAGAAAAACGAACGGAGCTACGGTACAGCGGCAGAAGCTCGTAGGAAGGCGAGAAGGAGAACGGTACTCGCGCGGCTGGAATCCATTTCCATCTGTCAGCGAGTTAACGCGGCACTCGCGATCGCGAAAAAGGAGCAGAACCTGTTTGTTGCTCGGAGCCGTGGGGTGGCTACGCTTCTTTAACCTCGCGTGATCCGCCGCGAGTTTTGCAACCGAGGGGAACCGGCTGCTCCTCTCCTCGCTGGCTGGCTCTCCTCGCCGCGTGTGTACACGCGCGAGTAAAGTAAACGAGCACGAACGCTTCCTCGCTCGCTCCTGCGTCGTCAGGAGGCGGTACGTCGCAAGAAAGGGCCGCGTGGCGAGTGTCCGTTAGGAAGCCGATGCGAAGCGTTTCCGGAGAGAAAAGAGCGGGCGACGCGAGAAGAAAGAGCCGCGGCGACGTTCGCAAAGCAGGTCTTTTCATCGAATTAAATGCTTTGACGGTGACAACGTCGCGTAATTGGCAACGAGGCAAAAGGGCAGAGTGCGAGAACAGAGGGTGGAATTTGCCGCGAATCTTTTTCGTTCTGTCGGCAAAGCCGTTCAATAAAATATTTTATTCGAACGGGAAATCCGTTCATCCGGTTACGTTTGGGTTTTCAAACGTTGGGTCGTTTTGTACCTGTCGATTCGTTGGAAAACGATCTATACTCTGTCTATCGACGGGTGTTTATGCTCTCGTGTCTCGATCTTCACCGATCAAATCTCTCGTTCGGTATTGGCGTTGAATGGACACGCGACGTCGTTCGGAGGACAACGCTCTCTGACAACAAATATATATATAAAGAGAAAGAGAGAGAGAGAGAGAAAGTCGCGCCATTGGCCATTGTTCGATAATTGAATCGTCGCTAGACGTTTTCCGGAAACTCGATGATGGAGAACGGTGGAAAAGCAGCGGAGCAGTACGCGTACGCGTTGAGAGGAGCACGAGACGTCTGTTCAAGTATTGCCGCAACGAACAATCGTTCGCGTTAGTGTTCGCCTATTATCCAACTAGCTCGTCCGCCGAGTCCCTATCTGTCCGGCACGTGCTTGCCGGTCTCACATCCAGAAGTCTGGAGCTAACCAGGCTCGATGAACCGCGACCGCCAAAGAGTGCGCAAATGCGGGAATTAATTCAACAGGGTAAACGAGGAGGAGCACGTAAGCAAACGATCCGTTCAAAGCGTGGTTTACCTAATTACTGAAACCGTACGGCCCACCGGGAACAGTCGCGGCGCGGAAAACAGATTGGAGAACGCCTGAAACTGGTTCGATTTCTCGAATTATTGTTTGGCTCTAACGATGGTTTCTAATCTGCTTTACAGATCTATCGAACCTCCTCGATAACGAGTGAAACAAAAAATACAAACTGTAGAGATAAAGTGAGTGCAATTAAAACGATTTTCAGGTGAACGGCGCGGCGGTGCTCGAGTTCGAGTTCCCGTTGCATAATAATTAAAGCCGGAGCCGCGGATCGCGAGGCGAAGCGCTGCTGGTTGGGCAATTCGCAAAACGAGGATCGCATTCCTCGTCCCGGAGCGCATTTATAGACGGTGGCGGTCGCCCGACTACGATAGTAAGTTCCGCCGCTGGCCATTAAAACAGGGACGACGAAGCGGAGGAAGCTGAAGGAGAAGAAGGGTGAAGACGGAGGTGGCGATGGAGCACGGAGGAGACAGAAAGAGAAAAGAGAGAAACATAAAAGCCGGTGGTATATAGCGGAATTTCACGAGGCAGACTAGCAAGCTGCCTGTTGCGAATAACTTCGGAAGTTCCAACGTGTATACCACTGTCCCACCCCTCTTCTCTCTCGCTTCCAGTTTCCTCCCTCGCTACCGCCGTCTCCGCCCGACGCGACCCTACCCTCTTCGTCCTCCGATTCTCTCTCCTTCGCGTACCATCGATAGAGTTCGTCCTCTCGCGTCTCTTTCCGTTTCCAACCACCGGCGCGAGCTTCCCCCACGATATACATACATATACATATGCACGTATATACAACACCTACACGCGTTCCGCCCCCGTTGCCATCCCGCGCGTTCCATTCCCCCTCGCCACTCTTTTAACCCCTTATTACTTCTCCTTGCTCCGCCACGATTCGACTGTCTCCTCTCCCTCGGTTTCCTACGCTTCGTTCGCTCTCGACACGGAACCTCCTTCAATTCTCAGCGGCGTCGTTTCAGTTCCCGTTCGATTCTGCATTTTTCTTCGGTCGCCTTCTGGTCATACGCCATATGCATTCGAGTCGCGTGCTCGCGACACGTTCCGCTCTTCTTCCCCCTACGTTTCTCTCTCCTTCTCTGACCTGGCTCTCTTCCACCGAGTTCGTTCTCTCTTCGTATTTTTTTCCTTTCAAGTTATATCTACCAGAAAACAGACGTTCTCGAACAACGACCATAATTTTGGTTTCAAACCACCAACTGAACGACACCAGGTGGACTGTTAAAAGTGATACAATCGCGATGAAAAAATATCGACGACGCCGGCTGGAATCCACGTGGATAGTAAAAACGAGCCCGGGGCACACGGGATTGAACGTTTAACCTTTAATCGGTGGACCATAGAATTTTCAGACGAACCGGAGAGTCTCGTCGACCGTGTCGCGACAAAAGGGAGCCAGCCACGGGAAACCGCGTACAATGCGTCCGGGGAAATTGAATTTTTCGAGCAGGATAACGTTTTTCGGAATTCCCTGTCGATGTCAAACCCGCCGGCCCAATGCGACTCGTTTTTTTTTCGTTTCATTAAATTCTGCAGCATATCTTCCATTATTAGTGGCACGGTTCGTTACATTCAGGGACAAATCGTCCAGCATATCCGAGAATTCAGCTTGAAAAAAAAATCGAACGATAAATCTAACAGTTTCAAAAAGGCATTCCGAGTATTCCGAGCTCGTCTCATGGAATATTGCTTGTTCTCGCAATTAGCCATCGATTGGGTTTCGATTCTCCCGTTGTTAGCCACAGAGACGTGTCGTTGGTCCGCCGGTAGGTCCGAGTTAATTTCGTGCCGGGATCGCGAAAATAGACGCGCTGCTGCAAATCAAACCGCGTCCCCGACCCTCCCTACGCCGTCAATCGACGCGACGTCGCCCGTCGCGACGCTGAAAAAGTTGCGCGCTCGCAATATCCGCGCGAAACCGACTGACCAACCGAGCACTCCTCCGTTTAATAAAACTTGGCCAGCGCGCGGAAAACCGCGGCGCGTTTCATTTCGTCTCCTCTCGGTTTTGAAAATTCAATCTGTTGTTTTCAATTTCACCCCTTCTTGACAACGTCCTCTACACTAGAATTTCGTCGCCTGAGAGACATCCGAACGGAAATTGTGTCAATTATTCTAATTTCATTTACCTAACTGATTTCGAAACAATAGGCGTGGTTAGATAAACCGTTGCAAAGTAAACCGCGAGACGAGGACAAAAAAATCTTTGGTGTAATGAACAGCGTTTCATCCAAAATTAGCCAGAGAACACAGGATTTGCGGTGAATTGCATGACGACACGATTATTCCAGTGGAATTGTTCGGTTCGTTACGGTTTAATTAAATCGATACAAGCTGGCATAAATAATTCAGCAACACTTCTTTAATTGTCGTCGATTTAAGGATGTATTGACTATACAGTCAATCCCAAAAGTTTA